CTAGGGCCCGGCGGCGTGGCCTAGCGGCTAAAGTCCTCGCCTTGAACGCACCGGGATCCCATATGGGTGCTGGTTCTAATCCTGGCAGCTCCACTTCCCATCCAGCTCCCTGCTTTGTGGCCTGGGAAAGCAGTCAAGGATGGCCCAAAGCCTTAGGACCCTGCACCCGCATGGGAGACCTGGAAGAAGTTCCTGGTTCCTGGCTTTGGATTGGCATAGCATTGGCCATTGTGGCCATTTGGGGAGTGAATCATCAGGGGGAAGATCTTCCTCTCTGTATATCTGACTTTCCAATAAATAAATAAATCTTTAAAAAAAAAAAAAAGCACCCAGATCTAGTATGTGCAGTATAATTTAGTATTGGGATTAGCAGGAAGCAGAGCAAGCAATCATTTGTTGCATTACACTTTTTTTTTTTTTGAAGATTTATTTGAATGTTTCATAGAGAAAGAGAAAAGAAATATCTCCTATCCTCTGGTTCACTCTCTGGGCCTGGGCTAGGCCAAAGCCAGGAGCCAGAACTCTATCTGGGTTTTCCATGTGGGTGTTAGAGACCTAAGGACTTAGGTCATCTGCTTTCACAGGCTCATTAGCAGAGAGCTGAGTCAGAAGTAGAGCAGCCCGGACTCAAAATGGCACAGTACGAACCCCAATTTGTTGCATTTTTGGATGACTGAGCTGAGTTGTGGAGAAGAGAAAAGGAAACCAACAGGATCCCATATGGCTGCTAGTTCTAATCCTGGCAGCTCCACTTCCCAGCCAGCTCCCTGCTTGTAGCCTAGGAAAGCAGTCAAGGATGGCCCAATCCTTGAGACCCTGCACCTGTGTGGGAGACCCAGAAGAGGCTCCTGGCTCCTGGCTTCAGATTAGCTCAGCTCCAGCCATTGCAGCCACTTGGAGAGTGAATCATTGGATGGAAGATCTTCTTCTCTGTCTCTCCTCCTCTCTGTATATCTGACTTTCCAATAAAGAAAAATATATTTTAAAAACAAAAAAAGAAAGAAAAGGGAACCATGTGACAGTAAATCCTGCCATGTCCAAGGCTTACATATTTGTACTTCCTCCTTTAATCTTACCGTAGTCATCAAGACAAGGCAGTGAAAATATTGGAGTTGATAATGGTAGGATTTGGATGTGTTGGCTAGTATTTGTTATCCGATACTGAGTTAGATGTCAGAAATATATTTATGAAGGTATGTAGCCAACTTTGTACAGAATAGAATTAAATTGTAAGTTTATTTCAGCACAAATATTTTGGAAGTTTGAAACCTAATTTCCACCCAATATGCCAGTGCCCAATATAGGCACTGGTACCAGTCCTGGCAGTTCCATTTTTTAATTTAAATTTTGTTTTTAATATTGTTTGCATATTTGACAGGGATGCACACCCATGTGGGTCTCTGATTAGGGTGGAGGGACCAGGTATGGAGGAAGGTGGGTGGGACAAATGTTTCAGGTTTTTGTTTTTTGTGGGTTTTTTTTTCCTTTCCACTTCTGTGTCTGCATGGGAGGAAGGGAAGGAGGCTGCTCCTTACTGTCAAACTACATCAACACCCAGAGATGGGGGAAGTCATTTGGTGACACCATTGAGACCTCAATGTGAGGAAGAGTGTTCTAAGGTTATTACTTGAGGGGTGTTGATAGTTCTGATCCAGGATTTAGGAAATCTGTCCATGGTCTTTTGGTTGATAGAGACCACCTTAGTGCATTCACAGACCCAGGAACATGCTATAAAGCTTGGCCAGGAGAATTTTCCAACCTGTTCTATCCAACCTGTTCTCTCCATCCTCTGACAAGGCAGTCGACATCCTTTGCTGGCCTAGAGGTCGTCATGTCCCCTGTGTGTTTCTGTATATGCTGTCCATTGCATAGGCATTGGCAACTGAGGAGGTTCAGTCCTGATACTTGCACTCCAAGGTCAGACCACACATCCTGATTTTCCCTGTGTCCAAGGTCTGAGTACAGTGGTCTAATGGGGGAGCCCCCAAGAAACCTCGCATGAGATGACCTCAGACTTGACTTGTATGCACCAACCAGTGCAGAGTCAGGCTCAGTCTGTCACCTGCACCAGCCAGCACACATACTGGTAGATGCAACTGCCTGATCAGTTCCACCCAGTCCCATATCTCACGTGAACGAACAGGTGCTGCAGCCCAGGCAACCAGGCTTCTACAGACCTGATCCTCATGCACACCAGCGGGTACTGTGTCTTAGTTGGGATGACCCTCAATAATCCCCTTCAGACTTTCAGCCCAGCCTGCTTTACATCTAGCTCTTGTACACTGTGGGTACTGTGGCTTAGCTTAGTCTGAGTCAACCCTCAGGTATGCCAACAGGTGCCACTGCCTTGTCTAGACTGATTATTTTTTTATTTTAATGTATACTTATTGTTTTATTTTATTTTATTTTATTTTACTTTTATTGTAAAGTTAGATATATACAGAGGAGGAGAGACAGAAAGGAAGATCTTCTGTCTGGTGATTCACTCCCCAAGTGACTGCAATGGCTGGTGCTGAGCTGATCTGAAGCCAGGAACCAGGAACTTCCTCCAGGTCTCCCATGCAGGGTCAGGGTCTCAAGGCTTTGGACCATTCTCGACTGCTTTCCCAGGCCACAAGCAGGGAGCTGGATGGGAAGTGGAGCTGCTAGGACTAGAACTGGCGCCCAGGTGGGATCCCGGCGCGTTCAAGGTGAGAACTTTAGCCACTAGGCCATCGTACCGGACCCCAGACTGATTCTTGTGCTCACCAGGAATAGGTGGCCACAGTTCTGCTAAGCTTGCTGCCAGGACTGGATCTTCTGTGTTTGCTCCACTTCTGATTCAACTCCCTGCTGATAGGCCGGGAAAACAGCAGAAGTGATCCAAGTCCTTGGGTCTCAGGAAATCGATGCATACCAGGGACCCTCAAAAAGTTCCTGGAAAATGAATGTTATTAAAAAAGGAAGGAAGGAAGGAAGGAAGGAAGAAAGAGGGAGGGAGGGAAAGAAAGAAAGAAAAAGAAAGAAAGAAACAAGGAAAGAAGAGAGAAAGAAAGAAAGAAACGAACGAACGTGCAGGGGCTAGTGTTGAGGTGTAGTAGATTACCTTGTCATCTACAATTCTAGTATCCATATGAATGCCAGTCCTAGCTTTTCCACTTGCAAGCAAGCTCCCTGCCAAAGCACTTGAGAAAGTAGTGGAAAATATCCCAAGTATCTAGGCCCTTGCCACTCACGTGGGAGACCTAAATGGAATTTCTGGTCCCTGGGTTCAACCTTACTCAATCTTGGCCATTGTGGCCTCTTGGGGGGTTAAACCAGCAGGTGGAATATCTCTCTTCTTCTCCCTTACTATCTCTTCCTTTCTCTTTCTAACTCTGCCTTTCCAAAGAATATATTTATATAAAAAGATGAAAGTTATAGATGGACATTAATATTTTAATTGCATTTCTCAACAGACTTTTTAAAAACACTTAATTTAGTTGGGAAACAGAAACAGCAACACCACCAGGTCATTTATCTGCTGGCTTATTCCGAGATGCCCTTAACAGCCCAGCCTGGGTCAGCTGAAAGTCAGAAGTCTAAAGCTCCCTTGGTTCTGCCATGTGGGTGCCTTGAGCACCTGCCTGCTCTCTCCTGGGGTGCACTTTAACAGGAAGCTTGAGTCAGAAGCGGAGCTAGGACTGGAACCCCAGTACTCTAGTATGAGACGCAGGTGTCCAGAGGCCTGACTTCTCCATCTTACATCCAGCTTCCTACTGATGTGTCTGGAAGACAGCAGAGGAATGTGCAAGAATTTGGATCCCTTGTCACCCATATGGGAGACCAGGATGGCGTTGCTGACGCTTGACTTAGGTCTGGCCCAGGTTTAGCTGTTGGAGCCATTTGGGGAATTAGCCAACAGAAACATGTCTGTCTCTGTCACTCTTTTATTTTTTTTTAATTTTTTTTCAGATTTTTCTTATTTTTTGTTTGTTTTATTTTTAATTGGAAAGGCAGATATACAGAGAGAGAAATAGATACAGAGAGAAAGATCTTCCATCCACTAATTCACTCCCCAAGTGAGTATAGTGGCTGGAGCTGAGCGAATCCAAAGCTAGGAGCCAGACCTTGGGTGCTTTCCCAGGTCACTAGCAGAGAATTGGATAGGAAGTGGAGTAGCTGGGTGGGAGAAGAACCAGTGTCCATATGGGATCCCGGCAAATGCAAGGCAAGGATTTAACCACAAGACTATCATTACAGACGTGACAGTAAGTTTGTACCCTTTTATTTTTATTTATTTATTTATTTTGTCCTCTTCAAGCACTCAGAATAGAAAATGAGGGGCAGGTGTTGGTCTAATAGTCACGACACCTATTAGGATGCCCACAAACCACATTTGCAGTAAATGGATTTGGTGCAGGCTATAGTTCCTCGTTTCAGCTTCTTGGTAATGTGGACTCTGTGGGCTCTGGTGATGGCCATGCAGTTGAGTTCGCACCACCCATGTGGGAGACCAGGATTATCTCCTGACTTCAGTCCCTGCTCTTGGCTGTTGCAGGCATTTGGGTGTCTGTGTGAGGTGAACCAGCAGATGGGAAATCATTCTGACATTCTTTCTCTACCTCTTAAATAAATAAATTACTTAATTCAAAGAATTTGCAAAATGACCTCAAAGCATCTCTACAGAGGTGCTCAGATCATCAGTCAGTTGGGCCACTTAGTACAGTGAGCTTTGTGAACAGGGGAGCTCGTTCACTAGCTCCAGTGCTAGTGGAAAGAGATCAGTAACAGTTTGGGGTAGCCACCAGTTTCTAGTTAGTTTCCATTTTAGATGTAATTTTCTCATTAAGAGGGAGGGGGAAGATTTGATGGTCTTTAGCACCTTGGAATAGCAGCTATAAGTCTCTTGTGTGACTGAAGTCTTCATGATGGTACCCTTTAGTTGCAAGTCAAGAACTGCAGGGCAAGTGGACATCTCACTATTCTTGGATATTGCTTCTGTGCTGACCAGTGCTGGTGTGACTGTCCTGCCTCCTCAGGAGCTCTTGTCGCTGGCGAAGCGGAAGCGCAGTGATTCTGAGGAGAAGGAGCCACCTGTGACTCAGCCTGCAGCCTCGTCTGACTCCGAGACGTCTGACAGCGATGATGAGGTGCGTGTGCAGGGGCGAGGCTGGGGGACCCAGCATGTCTGAAGACTCCTGAAATGGTGATACCCAGTGACTTTTTTCCTTACATTGAGACTTACAGATTAAGATGTATCAGCATTTTTTTATATATAGAAAAGTCAGATTGTCATATTCATTTTACTTCTGGTATCAAGTGAGTGCCTCTATGCGATGTCCTGGCCATTCTTTATTTAGCCTGCTTGCTAAAGAAAGGGTGCTACTTATTAGTTTTGTTTTTTGCCTTAAACAAGTATTAATTTATTAATCTAATTTTTTAAAAGATTTATTTATTTTTATTGGAAAGAGAGAGGAGGACAGACAGAGAGGAATATCATCTGTCTGCTGATTCACTCCCCAAGTGGCTGTAATGGCCGGTGCTGAGCTGATCCAAAGCCAGGAGCCAGGAGCCTACTCCAGATCTCCCAAGCGGATGCAGAGTCCCAAGGCTCTGGGCCATCTTCGACTACGTTCCCAGGGCACAAGCAGGGAGCTGAATGGGAAGCTGGGCTGCCGAGATTAGAACCAGTGCCTATATGGGATCTCCCAGAGTGTTCAAGGCAAGGACGTTAATCACTAGACAACCATGCCAGACTCAAAAAGATTGTTTTAAAGGAATCTTTTAAAAATTTTATTTTTGATGATGTATATATAGCTGCTTAGGGTGGGAAGGGTCAAGGATTAGGGGAGACTGGATGAGACCATTGTTTCCAAATGTTCTGTTTCTTCTTATATCCAGGAGAAGGGGGCAAAAAGGCGAAGAAGCCATACCCAACCACGCAGCCCTCAGTACCCAAGAATGGATAACAGCCACTTTTTTGTGATCCTGGGGTTCAGATGTGGAGCATCCTCTGAGGGTTCTACTCAAGTAGTTTTGATAGTTCTGAAATGCTGTCACTATCACTGATGCAAAAATAAGGATATCTTCCAAGGTCCATTGACTGGCATGGTTCACATTAGGGTCTGACTAATCTTGACATTTACCAATGGGTGCTGTAGCTAGGGTCAGCCCAGTCTGCCCCCAGTTCCACCTCATGCTGCTAAGTGCTACAGCTTAGCTCAGCCCAGCAAGCCCCTGTCTCAGCTCTAACGTGAACTGGCTGATGTTGCTGCCTAACTTGGCCTGCCCTGCACCCAGTCCTGTTTCTTGGATCTGTCAGCAGATATTATGAACTGGCCCAGCGTGGCCCACCCCAGACCTGATCCACACATATGCCAGCCCTTTGGCCAGCAGGTACCATAACCTGGCCTGGTCTGGGCTGCTCCTTGCCTTGGTTCTTGTGCTCACCTGCAGGGACTGCATCCTGACAGAGTTCCCTAAGCTCCTCTATCAGGTCACCTCCCACTGGCACACCAGTGAGTCTTTGGCCTAGTCTGACTTAGTCCACTTCCTGTCCTGGCAGGAACAGTGGTCTTGCCCAACTGGCCCACACCCCATCTAGTTCTCATTGTTGGGTACTACAGCCCAGCCATACCTGGTCCATGCCCAAACCCAGTTCTTGCATGGTTCAGCAGGTTCCAAGACCTAGCCCAGCCCATCCTGCACTCTCCCTGGCTCTCACAAGCACCAGCAGGTGCTGGAATCTAACTCAATCTGGCACACCCCAGGCCCAGTCCATACCCATGCTGAGGGACACTGCAGTCATGTCCAGCCCAGATTGCTGCCCCCATTCCAGCTCTTGTGCTCAACAGTGGGAACCACAACCCAGCCAGGACATCCCTTTAGCTCCTCAGCCAGGCCTGTTCCCAACCACAGATCTTGGCACATGCAAGAGGTTGCTCTGCCCCAGCTAGGCGTAGCCCATCCCTTGTCTTGACGTTTGTCATTGGATGCTGCAGCCTGGCTTGGCCTCTCCTGCCCTGAGTGCCAACTCTCACTGGTGGGTGCTGCAGCCTACCCCTGCCCATTCAGCTCCCATCCCTGGCTCATGCAAATGGTAGGTGTGATAGCCTAGTCTGCCATGACCCACACTCCAACCTGGCTCCTACACATTCCAGTGAGCTAAGTTTGGCCTGGCCCTGTCTGTTTTTGGCCCTCTTCCAAAACCATTCCACACACATGCTGGCAGGTGAAGCTGCCCTGCCCAGCCTGACCAACAGCTAGGCCTGAATCACATGCTCACCAGGGGGAGCTATGGTCCACCAGGGGAGTTTCCCAAGTTCCCCCACCAGGCCCACTCCCAGACCCAGATCTCACATGTGCTCACAGGTGCTAGCTAGGCTCTTACTAGGCATATTCTGTCCCCTCTATCCCAACCCATTCATGAGCTGCTGGATGTTGTGGCCCAGCCCACCCTACACCCTGTTCTTTGGTGTGCCTGTGGCTGCTACAGCCTGGACCAGTCTGGCCTGCTCCCAGCCCCAGTGTCCATGAGTGTCAGAGAGTTCCATGGTCATGCCTAGCTCAGCCAGTCACCATTCCCAGTGAACTCTTTTTTTACATTCTGACTGACTGTAGTAACTTTCTGCTATTATTAATAATTCAGCAGACTCAAATTTGCTTTCCACAGCAAGAGGTAGTGAATTGTTTCTTTTTTTTTAAAATTTATTTTTACAGAAGTTTTCATTTCTTTCAAGCTGATAAGATAACCCGATGTGTTAGGAAATGAATTGAACCTATGAAGTATTTGACTGTTTTTGTGTTTTAAATGCGTATACCATACAGGAAACTGGGGATATTTTCCCTTCTTTTTGTTCTTACAAATATAGACAAAAGGGCACTAGAGAAAAAGCGATCCCATCCATTAGGTCACTGCCTCAAAATAGGCCTGCAAAGGGATGTAGAGAGGCTGCTAGGAGTGGGAAGTCCCCCAAGGGTGGCCAAAGCCCACCACTGTCATTTTTAGATTTCGTTTTTCATATCAAGGTGCTGTGAGTTCCCCTTCTCATTCACACTGGAATGTGCCATGGTGTATTTTTGGTCTTTGTGGTTCCCTGAAGACACAAGCAGTAGCTGTCCTTGGAACTCCAGCATTCTCTGCATTCCTATTGTTAGGTCAGAGTCCTTGGTAAGGCAGTCCTTACCTCTTCTGAGCTGCTTCTCCCAGGAGGGTGGTATGTGCCTACCCCACAGCCTTAGAGGACCCCAAAACTTGGGCTGAAGCAGATCCAGTATCCTCAATACTGGATTCCTTTTTTGCTTACAGCTGCCTAACCAAGTAAGGAAAGTGCTCACCTTAGAATGCTGTCCAACTGTTTTTGCACTAATTGGCGAAGAAGCTGACAGCCCAGCTGTGCCCTGCCCGGCAATAGATGAGCCCCTGAGTGTCTTTTCCCCTGCTGAGTCCTTAGCTCATGGGCAGCCCCCAGGTGCCAGGCCTCCTGGAATAGCAGTCTTCACAGTGCTGCCATCCTAATGGATTCTGGTCCTTTGGTTTGTACAATTTCTTTGGCCTGGGCTGCTACTATAGCATAGAACACCTCAAAGTTAGAGCAAGATTACTTTTTTTGCCAATTAAGAAATAACTATTAAAAACTTTTTTTAAAAAACTAATATTTTAAGCAGAAGAGAACAAGAAAATAAAATCTACCATCCACTGGCCCACTCCCTAAACATGCCAACCAGGAGTCAGGAACTCCGTCAAGTCTCCCCTGTGACTGGGAGGACCCCAGTGCTTGAGCACCTGCTCTCTTCCCTGGTGCTAGTTAGTTGGAACAAGGCTGAGATTTGTACTTAGGCACTCTGATGGGAGACACAAGTGGCATCCTAAGGTACTAAGCCAGAAGTACTCCCCTGGCAACTTTTTCCAATCTGGCCAGCCACTGGAGAACTCAGTGTCATCACTATGAATTCAGGATATCGCTCTGATAGGTGTTTTAACTAGGATCAGGAACTCAGAGATTAGCTTTCTCTTTCAGAATATTCATATGCCTGCCTTGAAAGGAAAGCTATGTGTTTTGCAGTAGTTTCTTATGTCTTCTTATATCTGCTTTGGCTGATATCTCTTTGTTACCGACAATCACCTTTTAGAAATTACAATTGTTGAAATATTGATGTACCAGGAGCTATTCCCAATATTGAAATCTTTTCATGTGTCTCTCCATCATTATTTGCAGTTGGGTTCTTTTCTCTCTCTCTCTCTCTCTCTCTCTCTCTCTCTTTCTCTCTCTCTTTCTCTCTTTTTTAAGTTTAACAGAAGGAGATCTTTCATCTCTTTGTTCATTCTCCAGACAGTTGCAATGACCAGAGACGGGCCAGGTTGAAGCCAGGAGCTTGAACTAGAAATAGAGCAACCAGGACTCAAATCAGCACATATATGAGGTGCTGGCAATACAGACAGTAGTTTTACCCACAGTGTCATAATACCAGCCCAAGTAGGTTTTTTTCTTTTCTTTTTTTTTTTTTTTAATTTATTTTTCTTGGAAAGTCAGATATACAGAGAGGAGAGACAGAGAAGATCTTTCCTCCACTGATTCACTCGCTAAGTGTCTGCAACGGCCAGACTGAGCCAATCAGAATCCAGAAGCACAGAGCTTCTCCTGGGTCTCCCACTTGGGTGTGGGGTCCCAAAGCTTTGAGTCATCCTTGACTGCTTTCCCAGGCCACAAGCAGGGAGTTGGATGGGAAGCGGGGCTGCTGGGATTAGAACCGGGGCCATATGGGATCTCAGTGCATGCAAGGCAGATTTTAGCAACCAGGCTACTGCACAGGTTCTCAATTTTTTTTTAAGTTTGATTTATTTTAATTGGAAAGTCAGATTTACAGAGAGAAGGAGAAGCAGACAGAAAGATCTTTCATCTCCTGGTTTACTCCCCAAATAGTCACTGGATTGGAAGCTCAGCAGCTAGGATTTGAGCAGTACTCTGAGGTGGAATACCAACATCACATTTGGTGGCTTACTTCCCTTGCCACAACAATACCTATGCTTTGGCTAGAGCAAAATGGTACCTGGCAAATCGATGCAGAAGGGAAATGGAGAGAAGTTGTGGAAATCTATCATTAGGAAAAAAGTTGGCACTTTGGGCATGAAGTTTAAAGGCCAATTAGT